TTCTTTTTGCTTATGTGGTGCTGAGGAATCGAACCCAGGGCCTTGAGCATGCAAGGCAAGCGCTCTACCACTGAGCCACCTTCCCAGCCCCCTGTATTTTATTTTTGTCACTGACGTTTCCAGGAATTTGTGATTGGACTTGGAACATGTGATTCTCCTGCCTCCTCACCTACTGGATTACAGATACTGGTCACCATGCCTGCTTTAGTTTTGGTTTATTGTGAATGTATGTTTTTTTGTTTGTTTGTTTGTTTTTTGTCAGTCGTGGGGCTTGAATTCTGGGCCTGGGCACTGTCCCTCAGCTCTTCAGCTCAAGGCTAGCGCTCTACCATTTGAGCCATAGCAACACTTCCGGTTTTCTAGTGGTTTATTGGCGATAAGAATCTCATGGACTTCCCTGCCCAGGCTGGCTTTGAACTGCAATCCTCAGATCTCTGCCTCCTGAGTAGCTAGGATTACAGGCATGAGCCACCAGCGCCTGGCTGTGAATGTATATTAAGTTGGCATTTAGTATAAATTCAAATCTGCTTTTATCATGATTGCCATGTTTGAGTCTTCAGAAGTAATTCTCTTTCTTCCTAGCCATCTAGTTCTTTGCTGTTGCCACCCAGTTGGCAAATCTCACCAGAAATCAGAAAGCAAAGAGCTGGCATGATGCAGTCTGTGGCAGTCAGTCGTCCAGGCCACAGAGCATGCTAAATAAAGGAAAAGCTGGGATGAGCCATGAGGAGGCCAGAGTCTGCAGAGTGCTTTAGAAGGGGAGCTTGAGTACCATCATCTTTATTCAGAATTGCTCATTTTTACTATGAGTTGGGCAGACCTCATCAAATCTGTGTTCTTTAACATTGAAATTAGAAGCCAGGTAATAGTGGCTCACGCCTGTAATCCTAACTACTCAGGAGGCTGAGATCTGAGGATCATAGTTCAAAGCCAGCCAGGAAGGGAATAGTCTGTGAGACTTTTATCTCAAAAAACAGAAAAACAAAACTCCAAAACACCAGAAAACAGGAGGTGGTGCTGTGGTTCACAGTGGTAAAGCACTCACCTTGGGCAAAAAAAGCTCAGGGATGGTGCCCAGGCCCTGAGTTCAAGCCCCATAACTGACCAAAAAACAAAACAAAACAAAAACCCTGAAATCAGAAGTCTCAAATTGCGTCTTGATTGATATTCTGTGTAATTAAATTTTAACTGTTTTTCTCCAGATTACAATTCCTAGACCTTCTGTGGCATCAACACAGTCAACTTCAGGAAGCTTTCACTATGGTCAGCAGCCAGAGAAAAAAGATCTGCAGCCCATGGAGCCCTCTGTGGAACTCTATTCTCCAAGGGAGAACTTCTCTGGCTTGGTCGTGACAGAGGGTGAAGCCCCCAGTGGAGGAAGCAGAGCAGATTTGGGACTGCAGATAGATCACACTACTAACGACATGCTACCCAATGTTCGAGACAGTGACAGATCTCAAGACCTGGGACCAAAAGACCTTCCTGACCATAATGAACTGATTGGGAAAGAATCTGAGACTCTCCCTGGAGAAGCTGAAGAGAAAAGCATTCTTCTAGGGTCTGATAACGAAGAGGAAAAGTTAAGTAAAGGGCAGCAGTGTGTTGCGATTGCTTTCCTAGGGGATTTGGCAACTGGGGAAAGGGATCATTCAGCTACTATTGAACCTCTTGATGTGACAAAGATACAGACTTTTAGTGTAGTGCCAAATCAAGACAAAAATCATGAAATAATGAAGCTTCTGGCAATTGGAACTTCAGAAATTTCTCCTAGAGTCATTGACCCACATGCTGAAGGACAGATGGGCCAGGTGGCCGCAGTGCAGAAGTGCAAGCTGTCTAAGGATCAGGACATCAAGAGTGAAGATTTCCCTAGGCACCAGGGAGACCTGTCTACTTTCTTGCGCCCCGAGGGTAAGAAAGAGAAAATTGCCCCTAGAAATGGAGAACTCTATCATTGTGTTTCTGAGAATGAGAATGAACACAGTCCCCCACCCCGGAAGGATGTGGTTAGGTCATCTTTTATAACTAGACATAGCCGCATCCCTATTTTAGCACAAGAAATAGACTCCACGCTTGAATCATCTTCTGTAGTGTCTGCAAAAGAAAAGCTCCTCCAGAAGAAAGCTTATCAACCAGACCTAGTGAAACTTCTGGTAGAGAAAAGGCAATTCAAGTCCTTCCTGGGTGACCTCTCAAGTGCCTCTGATAAGTTGCTGGAGGAGAAGCTAGCTGCGGTTCCTGTGCCCTTTTCTGAGGAGGAGGTCTGCACTCCCTTTTCCAGACTGGCAGTGGATTCTCACTTGAGTAGGTCAGCGGAAGACAGCTTTCTGTCTCCCATCATCTCCCAGTCTAGAAAGAGCAAGATTCCAAGGCCAGTTTCCTGGGTGAACACTGATCAGGTCACTAGTTCAGCGTCATCTCAGTTCTTGCCTCGACCACCACCAGGAAAGCCACCTACAAGGCCCGGAGTAGAAGCCAGGTAATGTTCTCTGCTCTCCCTGTCTTTTGTGTGTAAATGACTTCTAGCTATACTTTATTGTGCGAGGTTAGTAGTAATATTTCTTTCTTTTTTTTTTTTTTTTTTTTTTTTGGTCCTGTCGTGGGGCCTGAACTCTGGGCCTGGGCGCTGTCCCTCAGCTCTTCAGCTCTTCAGCTAGCGCTCTACCACTTGAGCCACAGCACCACTTCTGGCTTTTTTTTCTGCTTATGTGGTGCTGAGGAATTGAACCCAGGGCCTCATGCATGCAAGGCAAGCGCTCTACCACTGAGCCACCTTCCCAGCCCTAGTATTTCTTTTTTAGCTTTCGAACATCTGCCTACCTAAGTACAGTTCAGAGTCCTTTTACAGCAAGGTGAAGGTTTAATTCCATGTTTTCATCTTTATTGTAAAATATACCTAACATAATATTTGTTTGCTGGTACTGGAGCTTGAACTCAGAACCTATATGCTATTCCTTAGTTCTTTTTGCTCGAGTCTAGTTCTCTACCACTTGAGCCACAGCTCCACTTGCAGCTTTTTGGTGGTTAATTGAGGATAAGAGTCTCACAGGCTTTCCTGTCCCAGCTGGCTTTGAACCGTGATCTCAGATCTCAGCCTCCCAAGTAGCTAGGATTACAACTGTGAGCCACAGGTGCCCAAGAGATTTTTAAAACTTTATTTGTAATCCTTGGGTGTGAATTCCAGGTCTTGCACTCATTAGGCAGATCTTCTCCTACTTGAGTCATGCCTCCACCCTTTTGTTTTTTCTTTGTTTTTGTTTTGAGGTAGGGTCTCTAATTTTGTGCTGATTGGCCTCATGCTCCTCATGCTCCTGTCTCTACCTCCCGTGAAACTGAGATCATGACTGTGTGCCACTACACCCAGCTAGATTTTTACTTCACATAAAGTTTATTATTAGGTATAGTGTGAAATTGTTTCAAAGTCATTAATGATACCAAAATGCATCTTTCATAGAAACACAGAATTCAATGCTCTGTTCAATTCTTTGCCTATTCCTTTGCTGTATTCTTTTATTTCCTATAATTATTAATGGTGGGCCCCTAAAGAGCAGCACATTCTTTAGTATTGCCACTAGAGTTGATTAAAAAAACACCTTTGCATTACTATCTTATTTGATTCTTGCACCAAACCAGAAAGACATTTGGGGCAAAGAAAGCCCATGTTAATCATCATGACTACGCTCTGTCTTCCAGTGCTGAGGTTCATACGCAGTAGCCAGTAGCGGGGCAGTATTCCCCACACCCACCCTAGCCTCATGCAGGCTCTTGACAGGGGCAGAAACTCAGGGAAAACTAGGTATTCTTTTAGAAATTATTAAATGAGGTTGAAATATACTTTCATCTCTAGCTCCTGCTTCTGGTTAATATAGTAAATAGGGAAGACATAGTTGGTGAGATTTAATGTTTATAGAATTGGTGTCCAATATGTCACATGTGCTGACATGCTGGGGACAATTCATTAAATTAATCCTAAAATTAGAAAGGTAAACATGTCATAGAAGGGAGGGACCTATCATCACCTAGGCGCTTCTGCTTGACAGACAGTCATCTTAGTACTTGGTTAGCTGGGTAGCCTTGTGAGACAGACAGACAGTGTTCCCATTGAAAGCTAGGAATCCAAGCACTGGGGAGGAGAGACAGGAGATGGGTGAGTTTGAGACCACCCTGGGCTACGTATTGAGTTCCAAGCCAGCCTGAACTACATAGCAAAGCCCTTTTTCAAAACAAACCAGAGAGAGAGAGAGGGGGAGGGAGGGAGGGAGAGATTTAGATTAAGCTTTGAGGTATTAATTGATCATCTAGGGAAGTATGTGGAAGAGTAACTGTGTATCCTGTTGGTGTATTTCCTGCTGTGATGCACACCTTGTATACATTGATTTGAGACATTATGACTTTTAGACACACTTGGAATGAATTTAAATGAGAATAATTCTTCTCTATCCTTTTTAAGGTTACGCAGATATAAAGTCCTAGGGAGTAGTAACTCTGACTCAGATCTCTTCTCCCGCCTGGCCCAAATTCTTCAAAATGGATCTCAGAAGCCCCGAAGCACTGCTCAATGCAAGAGCCCCGGTTCTCCTCACAACCCCAAAACACCGCCCAAGAGCCCAGTTGTCCCCCGAAGGAGTCCCAGCGCCTCTCCTCGGAGCTCATCCTTGCCTCGCACATCTAGTTCCTCACCGTCTAGGTCTGGACGGCCCCACCATGACCAGAGGAGTTCATCCCCACATCTGGGGAGAAGCAAGTCACCTCCCAGCCACTCGGGGTCCTCCTCCTCCAGGAGGTCCTGCCAACAGGAGCACTGCAAGCCCAGCAGGAACGGCCCAAAAGGATCCAGCAGCCTCCACCACCACGCCGCCAGCACGAAAACCCCCCCAGGGAAGAGCAAGCCCGCCAGCAAACTCAGCAGATAGGAGCCACGCTACAGCTCTGGGACAGGTGTGAGATCTTGATCTTCCTCCTAAACCTGATGCGTGTGTGTACCTGTACTGTCTATTTTTAAAAAAAAAATCAGTGTTGATCTGCTCTTTCAAAGGAAAGTAACATGATCAATTATTTATAAGAAGACATAAATATTAGGAATGACCCAATGCAGGTAGCAAGCAGATCAGGAATCAATGTCTTTGCATAGGAAGGGGCAATCCAGCAAAACTTACTAGAAGAAGGAGAAACTTCAAAACAAAAGAGTTGAGGGTAGGCGTTAACAGGAGAATGGGGGTGTCCTCTAATTTTGTAAGCCTGTACTCAATACTGTATCGCAGAAGTGTTTGTCATTTTTATTCAAAACTTCTCAGCCTTGGAGAGTCATTGCTCAGATATTAAGAGCCCGTTGCTAGGAAAACCAGTACCCCTGTTTTATTGGCTTGTGCATCTATTTAATGTTTTGAGAATCTTTACTTTGCCTCATTCTTAAGTGTCCTTTCTTGATTTTACCTTTTTTTTTTTTTTTTAGAGTTTGTATTCCTTACCTGATTCAGTCTTGCTTTTTTAAACTATGTATTCTAATAGGCATGTCGGCAGTGCACGCTGGGATTGTCACATTCAACTACCTTGCTTTAGTCCTTTAGTAGTTTTCTTTGGAGCAGCAGTTTTTAACCCAGTACCTTTTTATTGTAAAAAATAACTGAGAGACTAAGGTAAAGAAAAGTACAACTAGATTACTTGCAGGCTCTATATTTAGGGAGAGGAGAGAGAGAAAGTGGGGTAATGGCCTTCAAGATAGAAGAACCCTCTTAACTCTGCTTGTTTCCTCCTTGTGGAAGGAGACTGGGCAGAGGAGATTAACTGCTTCCTTGAGTCTTCTAGGTGCCAGCTCTTTCTAACCAACCTCCGAGATGGTACTAGGGAAGCACACCACTTTGGAATGTGACTTAACTTTTAGAGATTTAGAAAGAAATTAGGTATGTTATTAATGCTTATAATCTTCACTCAAACTTTGTATTTTATATACTTAGCCATTAAGAAAAGAATATCTGGGAAACAAATTTAGGCTAAATATTTTTATTTTAATGTTTTGTTACCTGCCTCATCTGTGATTTTGTTTAACAGTTGGGCTTCTTGGCCTGCCTTCCATGTGATCTCCTCAATTTATAAAGATAAAAGGAAGACCATATTTGTTCTAACCTTCTGCTAACAAATAGCAGGCAAAATTAAAGAATAGCAGACTTTTGAAATGAGCTCTTTTTTACTCTGTATTTTGTGTTATAAAGACCTTTTTAAGGTCAGCTAAATTTGTCTGCTTGCTGTTGAAATTTGCCTTCTAGCAAACATCTGTGCTTTCTGTTTGACCTTGTGTTTGCTGCCAAACCTAGTACTGTTGAATTGGAAAACAAAAAAAAGGAAGAAATTTGTTCCTTCACCCAGTGAACATATTCTAATGCTGCATCAAAGCTGCCCTGGAGCTGCACTGAAACTTAACCTGTCCTCTTTATGTGTTAAGCCTTTTCACAAACTCAGAACACTATATTGAGACCTGCAAGGTCTCCCATAAGAAATGTAGCATAGTATGGAATCTTCATTTCTCTCCGTTTCTAGCACCACAGAGGAATGCAGTAGATGAGGTGTATTTATTGTTTAGCTAAGGCAACTGTAATACTGGAAGACTGATCCTTCTGTATTATATTGTATAATTGTTGCTATAACACTACTTGCATGTCTTCATGGTATATTATATAAATATTTATAAATATATAGAAGAGACATATGCTTATATTAAACTCATCCTTTCTCATTCTCCATTTGTAATTTCAGGGTCACAGATGGTGAAATTCCTTTTCTATTGTGTGCCTCCCGTACACGTAGGCCTTGCCATCTTCATTTTCTGAAAACACGTACTTGGCTCGTAACAGCTCAGATTGTCCATGCCTTCCTTCCCTGTATAAAACGTGAGGGCTGGTAGTCTTTAACAAGCCAAGATGAGATGTTTAATTTCCATCCTACAAAGACTTTAATAGGGGAAAAAATGACTGGGACATGCTTGTGTTACTGGTTCAAAGATTCATCATGAGCGACAACAGAGTGCTGTCCTTAAGGTTAGAGTCACTCGGTGGGGATAGTAATCACGGGTCTGACATCAACTGATTCTGAAAACATTTCCTAAAGATTATTTTCCTCTTTATATCACTTACTTGGAGGAGTAGAACAGGGTTGAGGGAATCAGATATAACTTAGAAATCCTTTTTGTTTTTCTGTTAAATTAACACACTGACCTCTGTAGTCAGAAACGTGCTCATCATAACGGACAGAGAAACTGCTGAGGCCACCGCTGTGCACTGTGAGACTGTCCACCTCGCCGCCGGTACTCAGAACCGAGGCGAGGACCACACCGTGGCTACTGGATGTTTTCTTTGCTAGTTCATTCCTCCCAACCTTTCCATGTATGGCCTCCCTTTCCAAGTGACATTAACAAAACTCACCAAGAGCCAGAGGTCATTTCATTCTGTGAGAATCTTTTATTTTGCATGTAGGGAAGAAAAGTTAACCAAAGATATTTCTGCTCTGATACTTTTAAAATAAAATAGAACTTACTATATCTTATGGATCAATAGGTCATTTCTAAGTAATGTCATTATATAAAGAGATTTACCTTATAGTTTTGAAAAGTATAGTTTGTGCTTTTGGATATTACGTGTCTCTCAGGCTGAAAATAGAAGTTGGAAGCAACTTCTATTTTTGAGAAAATAGAAACAAGCACTTTGGTAAAGATTTTTGTCTTTATTTTATTGTAAAATATGATGCAGAGAACAGTTGTTTTTTTAGATTTTTTTTACTGTTTATTTTTGGGGGTTTAGTGATGGCATATTTTAGATTCAGTCATGCTTTATTCACATACACTTAAGCCAATTTGATTATTTTATTTCATGGCCATTAGCAAAAATCAAGCCAAACTATACTGAAATCAGGCTGGGGCAAGGTCAACAAGAACCTCCTGATTTTTCCTGTGGAAACCTAAACAGGCTTACCTGGTTACATTTGCCCTGCTTTTTTCTGTACTAGCCTGCAATGGGATTACCTGGGTGGAGCAGAAAATGGAAATGCTTTTTAGCTAGTGTTCCCCCTGCATTAAGCTTCTATATAGCTCCTTGGTCTATGAATTGGTTGAAAGACTTAAACCCCACCTAGCAATCTTGCACAGCTTAAGGGTAAATAACTTGAAACAGGATTGTGGACAAAGAAGAAAAATAGCATCCTATCTCATTCAAAGGGAGACGACTACATGTCATCTTAAACCCTAGACTGGCAGGCATGTTCACTGGTTGGCTGTGGTGAGATAGATTTCCTATTTTTTAAGCTGTAAGTTACGTAGTGAATTTTTTTTTCTTGGTAAAAATTGCTGAGCTAATCGAGCCCTAAATAAGTAGCAACAAGGAAATTGTTATGACCCCCTGTCGTCATCATCCACTTTCCATGACCCTTGCTAGCTTACTTCCCTGCTGCCCTGCTGCATACTAGGTGGCTATTGGAGATGGGCAATTCCTCTCTATTTGATCCCAGCCTGGGCTGGGGACTGAGTAAGCATCAGAGATTCCTTCCTGGCCACAGATTCCTACACACGATGTAGTAACATCGACTTCACAAGGAAAAAAGCGTACAGTGGTGTATGTGTTAGGAACTCAGAGACGGATATGCAGAACCAGAAGGAGGTTTTGTTTTTTGTTGGTTTTTCCATGCAGTACCTTAGGATGTAAAAGAGATTTTTTCCCCCAAGAGCAAACTACTATATTCCTAACCTAATGGAGGACTTGATGATAGAAGAAACAGCATTTTGAGTTTTAGTGGCTAAGTAAGGAAAGAACAAATAAATGCATCTTCTCTGGCTATTTGAAAATACATTTGTTTATATAATCTAATTTAGCTTTTTTTAATATTTAAAAAACTTCTTGTATTCCTTTATGTCTACCAAAACATGGCACTTATTCTGTCATGTTTTTATAGTGTAGAATTGTTTGCATTCACTTATTTAAAATCTGCCATTTCAGTTTTATACATTGTATCACCTGTGTGTTAGAACTTTTTGCTTCTGGGAGGAAAGTACCTATGTCACTAAGTCAATAACATGGCTGACAACATCTGATTCTGTAGACACTTATTAGCTGAACAGCTACTTCTTCTAGGATTTAACACAAAATATAGGATTAAGACATGTAACTACTACAGTAGTCCTCATATGTCAATATATCCCCGAGCTCAGAAGACACTGTGGTGCAAATTTAGATCTCAGCTTGAGGAGCGGGAGTTCTGGCGCTCTTGGCCATGTGGGAGATGTCCATACCAAGTGGCTGACCCCACTTGGTGTCCCCGCTGAACAGAATTGCAGGGTGTCCCTGGCCGGTGTGAACAGAGTGTTAACTCGTATCATTGGCCACTCTATTTTAGCCATTCACTAGGTAGGATTATAAAAAATTTAACTCTAGGAGCCTTCAGAGCTGCTAGTGAGAAGTGTATGGGGAATTCCTACAGTTTCTTGAGAGAGAGAGAGAGAGAGAGGAATCCAGATGTTATCCTGAGAAATTCCTGGCTGGACATGGCTCATGGACAGTTTCTGATTCTGTTGATTGCCCACTACTACTTTTAAAATGAGAAGGCTTGCTGCTTTGTTATTCTCCTGGAGCACATTTTGATCAGAAGACTAAGGTGACACCTTTAAGGTTCCACACAGTCTGAAGACTGAATAGCCACGAAGTAAGATTTAGAGGCAATGACTTGAGTATTTCTTTTGCCTGGAATCTTAGTCTTGAGGAGACACGTGGCAGAAGTGAGGCCTTTCCTTTATTGCCCTGTGCACCTTAACAGGTTTGTGTTTTCCCTTTAGCTGGCAGTGATAGCATGGGCACAGTACGTATACTGTGGATGCGTGGATGCTGACCCTCGCGGGCTCCCAGATACCCTCAGGCATGGGACGGATGAGGCAGAGCCTTGAGCCTCTGCAATATAGGATTTGCTGGTGACATAATTTTACACAGTGGATGGGAAATTTGCCTCCTAGTTTCATATTATTTCAAATTGCTATATAAATGTTCACTCCCCCATTTTAAAACCCCAAGTAAACCAAGTTTTCTATAAACAATCCTGGCCATATGATGTTTTATTCCTGCTTATAATACAGTTTAAATCCGTAAAGATTCCATCGCGGCACTTGGACGCTGTCTAGGTGTGCTGTACACAGCCAACACAAGGAGTAAACAAGACCACCAGAGCTCGATTGTGCTTTCTTGGAAGAAGCTTTCCAGGCAGGGGAATGCTTTGGGACTTTTTCCCAAACAAGTTTCTTATTATTCACCAGACAGAGAAATTAGTTTAAGTTAAAAAAAAAAAGCAAGTTTTCTGAAATTCAAAGATAGGAAGATAAAGGAAATAAAACCCGGGCTACTGAGGCGTTGAAGGAGGTGAGCCCCTCGCTCTTCACCCCCATCCCCCCCCATCCCAGTTCCTTCCCTAAAACAGAACACACTTATTTCATTGGCCCATTTACTTACAAGCTCCCGGCTTTTAGAAAAAGATGGGAACATCTGGGAGCTGTTCTATCAGATTCCACCACAAACCAGAAGAATTGCCTTGTTGAACAAGACTAATGAGTTGAGCAACTTTAATAATTCCACTTTCCTGTCCCTCTCTTCTCTTTATGAGGTAAAAAAGATGAGAAACTGCTCTTTGAAATACCTCCCAAGGTATGACCCCCCCTCCCCAAGGCAGCTCCCTCGACGGGCAGAGTGTTGGCAGGAGTGCCGAGTGCTCTTGTATAGGCCATCTGTACATAAAAGTGTAATTATTTATTTAATTTTCCCATTTGTATCATATTAAAGCTTTGTACAGTGTTTTAAGTTCTGTTTTAAAATTATTTTGTATTTTATTTTTATAATCTAGTAATAAAATATTCATTCCGCATGCAAACTCTAGTTCTTGTGTGTGATGGCTTGGGTTTTAAGACGGGGAAGTTAATTCTAGTTGAATGAAGTTTTGAGGGCAGTCAAGGTGACGAGGTTAACTGGGAGCAGCGCTGCTGCTACGAATGTGACCAGAAATGACGTGGAGGCGGCGGCGGCCACCCTCCCCTCCCCCACCCTCCCCCCAGCACTGCAGGGGTCCGCCCGTCCCCCCCACAGCACTGCAGGGGTCCGCCCGTCCCCCCACAGCACTGCAGGGGTCCTCCCGTCCCCCCCAGCACTGCAGGGGTCCGCCCGTCCCCCCCCAGCACTGCAGGAGTCTGCCCGTCCCCCCCACAGCACTGCAGGGGTCCGCCCGCCCCCCCACAGCACTGCAGGGGTCCGCCCCCCACAGCACTGCAGGGGTCCGCCCGCCCCCCCACAGCACTGCAGGGGTCCGCCCGTCCCCCCCCACAGTACTGGAGGGGTCCGCCCGTCCCCCCCCAGCACTGCAGGAGTCTGCCCGTCCCCCCCACAGCACTGCAGGGGTCCGCCCGCCCGTCCCCCCCACAGCACTGCAGGGGTCCGCCCGTCCCCCCCCACAGCACTGGAGGGGTCCGCCCGCCCCCCCCACAGCACTGCAGGGGTCCGCCCGTCCCCCCCACAGTACTGCAGGGGTCCGCCCGTCCCCCCCACAGCACTGCAGGGGTCCTCCCGCCCCCCACAGCACTGCAGGGGTCCTCCCGCCCC